TGGCCCCAGCCACGCTGGCCCGGGAGAGACAAAGAAAGAGGGATCCAAAGATGGACCGAGGGAAAGGGGTGGGGGTGAGACCAAGGCAGACAAAGAGCGGCAGAGACCCCAGACGGGGCGGGGCGGGGCGCCGAGACGGGAAACAAAGCGGGGCTGGTCGGAGAGGCCGAGGGCCAGGGTGGGGGCTGGGCTGGGGGAGATCGAGGCAGGAGCAGACGCTGGAGGCGGAGGGACGCCAGGTAAACGCTGCGGGAGTGAAGGGCAGGCAGATGGAGTCACACTCCGGGCCCGGAACAGAGACCCTGAACCCGAGACTCACAGATAAAGCCCTGAGTCAGGAAGGACGCAAAGGCCGACCCAAAATAAAGGAGCAAAAAATTAGCCGCTAGAGACAAAGAGATGTAGAAACAAATAAAAGAAATAAAGTTTTTGAAGCGGAGTCGGAGTAGCGATAAGAGGCAGGGAGCTAAGAGAGAAAAAGGCCCAGACGCAGAGAAACAAAAGACTGCAGGCAGTGAAACAGGCAGAGACAAAGAGACAGAGACACAAAGAGGCCGCTAGGAAGACTAGGTCGACAGCCCTACAAAGGCCAAACCTTGGGAGAGGCTGAAGAATTAAACCCTGTTTCTCATCCCGGTGGGGCCCTGACTGGGGCTCGGTACCAGGGGACCCAGGATAACCCTAACCCCAATATTTATACTGTGCAAACCTCCCTTTGGGGATTTGAGAGTGCCCGGAGGTGTTCCAGCCCCTCTGCTCACAATGAGGAGTATCTGCTTTGTATATTAATTCACATTTATGAGCACCTTGGTATTAAGCCAAGAGCTTGGGTTGGGATAAACTGAAACACATGCACGATTTATCCTTGGGGTACTACCAATTTGAAGGGGCAAACACAGATGATTAAAAATAGAGACACCTTCCCCCCCCCCCCAACAACAGCTAGGGGTTAAAGGGAACAAACCACCGTTAAAGGGACAAAGCCCACCACCCTTGCAGTTCAAATCCTGGCTCCAGAGGCTTGAAAAAGATTTCTGGGTATGTGCGTAGGTAACCAGAATCCTGACATAATAGAAATGGAGAAGGGATTGTGGCGCGACCACGCCTTATGGCGGTTGCTCGCTTTCTCTCTCTGAGAATGCACACACCCTCTGGCAATTTAAAGGAAAAATAGAGAACTGTAAGGGCGTGAAAGAATTATACAGACATATTGAAGACAGTGTGGGAGAGCAGGAACACTTCTCATGTGTGAGAATGAGGTCGCATGGCTCTGTGTGCCCAGTGTGCACGGATGTTAGACACCAACAAAGGACCACACTCAACACATTCTACTTCTTGAAAAATAACTAGCGTCATGTTACTTTTTTGTTCTATTTCTCTCCTCCACAAGTCAGAGAGCACTCCCAACAGGACCCCAACACAGAGACACACCCCTAGCTTCCGCCACCCTGCGATCCCAGGATGTTCAGGAAGTCTCAGAATGTGAATCCAGAACCTTATAGAACACTGGGTTCTACTCTTTGCCATTGTCCAGCCCCCAACACAGACTTATTGACCAATTAATCTCTAGATGCTGCTGTAATCCTGAAATACAAAGAAACTCCTTGGGACCAGCAGATGTCATAATGGTAGCATCGCTGGGTTGCCATGTAGTCGACAGTGGTTCGAGTCCTGGACCCAATGGCTTACAACTCACGCAGGGTACGTGTGTGTGCCCAAGATCCCAAAAAGAGAATGGAGGGGATTGCAGCATGGTCACCTCTTCTCCCCCATGATTTCTCGCTTTCTGTCTCTTTAGTGAGCGCACATGCCCTATAGCAAAAACAAAAACAAAACCCTTTCTGAAAGGAAAGGAAACCCCTTAGGATAGGAGCTGTGCCAAAGATCTAACAGGTTCTATACTGAGCTACTGACCGTATGAACAGTATTTTAGGAGTAGTGCAGAGATTCCTCTGTCGAGTTCAGTGGCTGCGGATACTGCCTTTCTTTTTCTGCCTTTCTTTTTCTTTTTTTTTTTTAAGAGGTTTTTGCTATAGGGTACGAGCGCTCGCCAGAGAGACAGAAAAAGAAAGCGAAAAATCCCCCCCGGGGGGGGGGGCGGTGGCCACGCCACACTCCCTTCTCCTCTCGGGATCTTGGGCATGCACGCACACTGGCATGAGTTTAAGCCACTGGGTCCGGTACTCGAACCGCAGTCGACTACATGGGAGTCCAGCAACATAGTCATTACGCTGCTTGTCCCTGCTTTTTGTTATTTTTAAAGAGGTTTTTGACTTAGGGCTTGTGCACTCACTGGAGAGAGAGAGAGAGAGACAGTGAGAGGAAAAGTGAGAAATCACCCCCCTAGGGGGGATGGCCACACTGCAATCTTTTCTTCTATTCTCCTCCTGAGATCTCCGCCACATGCACCCTGCGTGAGTTTCAAGCCACCAGGTCCAGGCCTCAAACCGTGGTCAGTCAACCATGTAGGAATCCAGTGATGTAACTGCGTAACCATCTGCTGGCCCCATGTGGATACTATCTTTAAATTATTCATGTGGGGTTTAATTTCCTGGTCTTATCATTTAATTGCAGTTTGACCTTAGGAAAGTTACTTAAGCTTACTTCCTGAACTATAAAATGAAGATGATAATACCTAATTTGGATGGTTGAGCGTTAATATACATAAGGCACTAGGGCCAGTATGTGGCACACTGGTTAAGGAGTTGTACTCCCACATGGATAACTGTAGTTCAAATCCTGGACCTGGTGGCTTGCTTTCTCACTCCCTACCCCCCCCTCCTCTCTCTGGTGAGTGCACGTTTCCTATAGCAAATTTAAAAAATAATAAACATAAAATAAACAGTTTAAGAGAAATTTTTGCTATAGGGCACATGTGCTTGCCAGAGAGAGAGAGAGAGAGAAAGCAAAAAATCACCTCCCGGGGCAATAGACATGCCACAATCCCTTGTCCTCCATTCTCCTCTCAGGATTTTGGGCATGCACACACAAGTGCCTGGCGTGAAAAGACAAAGCCACTGGGGCCAAGACTTGAACTGTGGTTGACTATGGGAGTACAGCGACGTAACCACTACATCATCTGCTGGTCTAAATAAACAATTCTTAAAAAAAAAAAAAGAAAGAAAATGTGGGGGCCAGATGGCAATGCTATAATAAAATAAGATATTCTGCAAGGCCACTCCACTTGGGAAGGTTCTGGGTTTGCGTCCTCCCTGAACGCGCCAGGCACTCATGTGCCCATGATTTGGGGTTGGCTGGAGCAGGAGGTGGATTGTGACATCAGGACCCTGTGAGGGGTAATGTTTCTCTTTTTCTTGGTCATAGAAGAAATAAATAAACTTTAAGAAAAAGAAAAGGAAAACCTACTGTATGCTGGAAGCTTGAGATCTGAAAATGATTAAGACCTATCTTCAGGAATGTTAAGACTAGTCCTGTCTTACTGTGCCATGAGTTTACACAATAGGAAAGCAGTGGGAAAGAGATAGGTTACTAACTCCACAAACATTTCCTAGATGTCCACCAAGAACCAGACATTCGCTTATGCAGAGAGACAGAATTATGAGGGTATAAATGGCCAGCCTGCACACCATACTTGCAGAGCAACCTACTTCTGACTTTCTTAAAAACTGGTTTATTGGGAACAGCAGTTAGCGTAATGGCTATGTCGCTGAACTCCCATGCAGTCCACTGCGGTTCAGTCCCGGACCCAGTGGCTTAAACTCACGCCGGGTACGTGTGCCGTGTGTGCCCAAGATCCCGAGAGGAGAATGGAGAACGGACTGCAGCGTGGCCGCCCCCCCACCCCCCGGGGTTGGGGGTGATTTCTCGCTTTCTATCTCTCTGTCTCTCTCTGTCTTTCTGGTGAGTGCAGGCGCTCTGTAGCAAAAACCCCTCAAAACAAAACAAAACAAAAGAGATGGCTGTGTCCTGGGGCAGGGGTTGGTGTGGAGTTTAAGGAACTGAGATCCCACATGGACGACTCCGCAGTTCGTGTTCCAAACCTGACAGCTTGAAAATCACGCTGGGCATGTGTGCATGTATACCCCAAATCTGGAGAGGAGACTAGAAGAGAAGGATTGTGGAGTAGCCACGCCCCCCAGGGGGTGATTTCACATCCCTCCCTCTTCTCTGGTGAGCACACAAACCCTGTAGAAAAAAAACAACAAAAATGATGGCTGCCTTCCTAATGGCCCACTCTGTAGTTCAAGTCCTGGACCCAGTGGTTTGAAAAAACAGGTTAGGTACCTGCATGTGTGTGTGGTGTTCCTGGTAAAATCCTGAAAGGAGAAATGGAAAAGCGATTGCAGAATGACCACCCCCCTGAGCCGGTGCTTTCTCACTTTCTTGGTCTCTCTCCAGTGAACATACGTGCCCTCTAGCAAATTAAAAAAAACATAGGGTGGCATGGTGGTTACGGGTGCTGGACTCCCACATGGCCAACCGTTGTTTTGAGTTGTGACTTGCTTTCTCACTTTCTCTCGCTTTCTCTCTTACTCTGTCCCTCTCTAGTCAAATTTGAAACCGAGCAGGGACCCCCTAATGTATTTTCTAAGGTTCTTGA